ATTATTATTATTATTATTATTATTATTATCATTATTATTACCATCTTAATTTTAAAAAGAAATTAATTACTAGTACTAAGAAAGAATACGATTTTCTCACTTGAAAGAAATAATTGTGCATATTGTCATATTTTATATCCACACAGTAAGTGCGCCCCGTCAGCATCGTTCCATATCTTTTTGCTCCAAGACGTGGATTACAAAATCGGTTTGACAGGCTCGGGCTTTGTGTGTCATAATTGTCACACTGGATACGTTAATGACTCCAGATGTTTAAATTGCAGTCTTTGTGTACCTGGTACCTACAGAGGCAAGCATGACTCCTGTGAAATGTGTCCGGCAGGTAACTGCCAGAATATTGACGAAAAAAATAAAATTCCTGATACACACTGCCACGAAAATTGTATCTTAAGCTTCGTTCACACTTGGCGCCCGAGCACTGATGCCTGGACACCGGCACAAAATAGTGTTGCGTTCAGACACTGGTAGTCTAAGTATCCAAGTACCATTTGGTGCTCGAGTACAAGGTCGAGACCTTGTACCTGGGTATGGGAACTCTGTATTTAGAAAAAAAAACAAAGGTGTGTTCACATTATTGTCCAGCGAGAATTGTACTCGGGCACTGTGCTCTGGCACCAAGTATCAACATGGGCTTTATGCCTTCTCTGGTATATGGAGCCGGTAGCTGTATAACAAAGTGTATTAACTTCTTCCTCGACTAATTGGTTTTCGGTGGGCAACTGTTCCACAGTGATATAGGCCAAATTTTGTATAAATTACTGTCCAAGAAATCAAATTCTTTAAACAACTCCTCCTCCTTCCACATTTTCTCCCAAACTAGGAGTAGTGAGCCCTAAGCTATCCCTCTTCCGTTGGATGGATTAGATGTTTTATAGCTGGTGGTTGCTGGACATATCGGGTGATGCTGATACAAGAGGGCGCATATGACTTTCTTAATTTTGCGCAACAAATTTATTGGTCATTTTTCCACGATTCATATGGATATGTATGGAATAGATTTGATATATAGTTGATCTTTTTTGGGAGGAGGGGGGTGGGAATCGATCTCTGGTCAATTATAATGCCAGTTTTATCCTGCTTTTCATAGCACCAAATGCTACTCGTCTGTTAATTTAAATGTGGTGACTGCTTTATAACCACCAAGGGCTTTTTCCATATTTATTTTGACCAAATGAAACAAATGCTGAAAGGAAAATAAAAAAAAGTAAACCAATTATATAGCTGAAAGCTCACATCATAACTTGATTATTCTGCTTTTTGTTGTTTGTTTGTTTTCTTTTGCGTCACAGGAGGTTTTTACCAGGATCAAATGGGGCAAATTGATTGTAAAACATGCAGTAATGGTACTTTTGTCTCCGAGAAAGATCGTCCTGGTACAAGTGCCGTTAGCTGCCGGGCATGCCCATATGGTAAGGAATGTGTTTTTGGTTCAGCTATTGGCTAGAGTGGTTTTTACTTGAGTGTCGAAAGTAATTCGCATTTCTTTTGGTTTTGCATGATTACGCTAAGCGATTGCTTGACAAACACACGCAACTTTGACATCCAAAAACCAAGACTAATTTTTAATGATATTCAGTCACACGTTTTCCCACGGTTTACTAGGCTGTCTGTGTAATGTGGAAGCGTGTTTACTTTAAGCTTGGTCTGTGTCTAGACGTTTACCATATTCTTCATTTCATATTAGACGTCTGCACGTAGGTTAAACAAATTTTTATATTTCATCGAATCAAAAGCGAAAATAGTACAGCGGAGTTAACAAATAATTACTCTGCATTTTGTGTCCTCTTTGGCTGAGAGCATACACCCAGAGCCCGTGGACTCCTGATATAGTCAATTTAATTGAATATTCAACATCTACCCGTAATTGCTTTGTTGCAGCAGACATGGCGTCATTGGGCTACGCACTGTCACTTGTGTTGGGAGAAGGAAATTTGAGATATCCCACAATTACCGAAAATAGAGCTTTAGAGGCTACAAATGTGAAACGAAACAAATACCTAGTTTGTGTTAACCGTCCCAGCCTTTGGCTCTATAACCTTCGGCCTTAATCCTGCTAAATCTCATATCCAGTAATTTTGAATGAAAGTATACACATTTGATGCTATTTTGCTATTTAACTGACTGAGATTTGTCCACACTTATAGTTTTAAATAGATTCATTAATTATTTTTCCTTTCATCAGGAACTCAATCGAATGTGACCGCTGGTTATCGTGCATGCAGATGCCTGCGCAATTTATATCGCTTGGATCGTTTTGGAGCCTGTTCAGCCTGTCCCGCCTATGGTTTTGTCTGTGAGAACGATACAGCGATACTTGCGCCGAATTACTTCTGGAAATGGTCTGACCAAACTCTGAAGGAGCGTTATGGGAGCTTTGTTAACAACATCCACACTTTTGGACCTGAATACAACAACACCTTTTCCACGTTTACGGCTTCACTACCAAAACCAATAAAATGTCCTCATGCCAATTCCTGCAAGGGAGGGATTAACTCAGAATGCCAAAAAGGATATAAAGGGATCTTGTGTGCTTCTTGTACAAACGGCTTTTACTTCCGATTTAACAACTGTCTGAAATGTCCACGGTTAACTGTCACAATAATTTCATCCATTTTGTTGGTTGTACTCTTTGTTGCTGTGTTTCTGATGGTTCTTTGGGGAGACTCGAAGCAGACTGAGAATGATCGAACCATTGCAGATATCATCATGTCCTGCTTTAAAATAGTGATTGGATTTTACCAAGTTATTGCCGGTATCTTCTCGGCGTTGACGAGAGTTCGATGGCCGGTAGCTTTGATCTCTATGGAAAAATATCTCAACTTGTTCGAAGGAAATATTTTGCAGTTTGCCCCATTAAGCTGCATTCATTCTCAATTGCGGATGGATCAGTTTGCCAAATTCCTAGGGATCATTTCTCTGAATGTTGTTGTTGTTTTCATAATTCTTCTTTATCTTTTCCTCAAAAAGAGATACGTCAAAACGAAGGTGGATATTCCTGATAGCGAGAAACTACGTGCAGTTTCAAGTTTGAAGAAATCCTGCTATCGGAACATTTTTCTGTTTCTACTGACTTCTTACTCGACAACAAGTAAAACAATTATTCAAACTCTGCCTCTTCCTGGCGCATGTGTAGAGACGTGTTTCACAGATGAAAAGGGTCAATGTAATTTCTTCCTGAGAGCGGACTACTCCATACAATGTTTTACTCCTCGTCACAACTTTTTCTGGCCCATTGCTGCTGTGTTTGCATTTTATCCTTTGGGATTTCCTCTTCTGGTGTTGTCTCTCATGTACAAATACCGTGAGTCACAGGAAGAAGAAGAAATTTCTTTTGGCTTGAAAGTTTTCTTTGAAAACTATAAGAAGAAATTTTGGTTCTGGGAGATAACAGAGATGTATCGTAAGCTAATTCTTATTTCACTGGTGTTTCTTTTCGGATCTGAAAGTCCCTCTCAAATTAGCTTCACTATGTTAACAGTGAGCGCATTTGGAGTAGCGTACACCTTCTTTCGACCAATAAAAGGAAAGTTTGAAGATCGACTGCAAACGTTTGTGCTGTGGGTCATTTTCTTTGATGTTTGCCTTGGTGTAGTATATACAAACTGGAGACCAGACCACCAGGACCAGATGCAGAACGACTCCGTCGTTTTGAATGTCATTTTTGTGCTCCTTAACGCCTCTGTGTTGTTATTTGCCATTGGTAAGTGCATGGGCTAAAGCCGTATTCTTATTAGACCTTATTAGTAGTTTTAGGTACCATTCACTTTCTTTGTCAGTTTTAACTATGTTCGAGCCGTTTTTTTTTTTAATTGATAAAATCCAAGATAAGGAAAAAATAAGAAGGCGGCAGTTCCTAAATAATAATTATTTCGCAATTTCCTTGGAAAACCATAGGAAAAAAGGTCCCGTATGAGGGCCGTACGCGTGGAAGCGATAGGGCTGGAAAAACCGTACGGCCCTACAAGGAACGCGTACGGCAAGATCGATGCGAGTTAATGACATGACGTTTTTTTAAAATTGAGGAAATCCAAACTTTCTCAGAAGCCCACAACAAGCAAACAGCCGGTCAAGAAAACAACTTTTCCGGATGAACTGTCCGATAATTTACCTTTGGAAAAAGCAGACTCTTGAGGCGAAACTTCTCCTAGTGGAAAGCATCAAAAATTTCTCTTGGGTCAAATTAAAGCAAGAAGACAACGTAAAGAAAACAAAGCACGATATAAATGTTTTCTTCAGTTTTCTTCGAGTTTCCAGAGTTTCTGGGAGAAGTTGGTTAAATCAGAGATATCACAAACATACCATATGTACAGTAGGATAATTTGCTTCGCGGTTTCTACATCAGTGTTGTTTGAAGAGACAAAACTTAATACGAACACAAGTTCATTACCGTACAGTTCATACAGATAATAAAACTCGCTTGAATTTCCACTACACAGCAAAGCCAGCAAAGTCAGCAAACCCAGGCACTGTTTGCGGGATTCAACATCGGTGTCATTAATATTCAGTTGCTAGTTCTCCTTTGTTCAAGGGAATCCAAGAGGTCAACAAATACCTTGAAACGACGCTGACATTTTATTGAAGCGTAAAGCGAACTTTTGTCACTCGCTAAGTTTTTGATGGTTTTGACATATTTTTGATAGCTTTATGTCAACTTTCTGTTCGTTAGCATGTATTGAAATTGTTGATTTACATTGAAAAACAAACATGAGCAAACGAGTCGTGTTTTTCGATGAATTGTGTGTTTCTTGTTCGACGCGAAGAAATAAATGACAAGTGTTTATTGTAAAATCTTTTTTGTAGTTGTTCCGCGCGCGGCCGTCTGATGTTATGTAATCGCGTCCTATTTAGGTTCTAACAGAATAGTCA